CCTTAAAAAACAAAGTTCTGCCTGCCCTGTGTGGACATTAATGATTCCTTGGCACTCACCTTAATGGTTAAACTCTCTGTCCTTGGCCATATTTTCCACTTCTCATTTCATCCACTATTATCTGGTGTTGTCCACGTGTACCAGTGTGTTGCCTCCTTGCGTTTGAGAGGTAGAAAACTTTTTCTAATATCTAACTCTTCCTTGCTGCAGATTAAGCCGAATACTTTAATCTACCTTCAGTGGACATGGAGGCCAATAGATCACCATCCTCTTTATAACAGCCCTTAACATACATATCAGGCCTGGACTCAGTCATCTTTTCTGAAGACTAAAAATATGCAGTTTTTGTAACCTTTTCTCATAGATCCTGTTTTCAAAATCTTTTAGTATTTTTGTTGCTCTTCTCTGGGCTCTCCAATTTGTCCACATCTTTCTTAAAGTGTAGTGCCCACAACTGCACACAGGACTCCAGCTGATGCCTCAGCAGTGCCAAATAGTGCAGAACAAAAACCTCCTGTGCCTTACATATGACATTCCTGTTAATACACCCCAGAATTTTTTGAAACTGCATCAACATGATGGCTCATAATCAATTTGTGATCCACTGTAACCCAGATCCTTTTCAGCAGTATTCCAGTTATTCCCCATTTTGTATTTGTGCACTTGATTTTTTCCTTCCTAAGTGAAGTGCTGTGGAGTTGTATTGAATTTAATCTTGTTGATTTCAGACCAACTCTCCAGTTTATTAAGGGCCTTTTGAATTCTAATCCTGTCCTCCAAAGTGCTTGCAAAGCCTCCCTGCTTGGTGTCATCCACAAATTATATAAGCATACTCTGTGCTATTATCTAAGTTATTAATAAAATATTGAACAGACCAAGGACAAATCTAAGCTGGACCCCAGTAAATATGTTCTCTATTTGGCCAAAAACCACTGATAACTACTCTTTGAGAATATTTTTTCAACAAGCTGTGCATCCACCTTAAAGTAATTTCATCTAGACCACATTTCCCTAGTTTGTTTATGGGAATGTCATGTGGGGCTATGTCAAAAGCTTTCCTAAAATCATCTTAATTTAATTTTCTTAATTATCTGAAGTTCATGAGTCAAATTTAGCATGAGCTAAAATGGTTTTAAACAACAAGAATGGAATTATTATCAGCTTGTAACAACTATTTTCTGTCTGGCTTCAGTATATCCGTAAGTGTGTGATGAACAGGACTCTTCCTCACCTGACACTGGTTGAGTGTTGTAGCATAAAGAAAATGTGTGAACAGGAAATGATTGCCATAGAAGCTGCCATAAACCAAAAATCATCCAACCTTCCTCTTCCTCTGCCACCAAAAAAAACACGAACAGTTACTGTAAGTTGATATGGAGAACATTTACTAACAAAAGTAACGTAAGACACACCACTGATGACTTTTTTTCCTTCATGTATGTTTTTCCTCTCATACCTCTTTCCCAAGAGTTTCCTATTGTTGCTCAAGATGTTACATCAAGGATAAGAGGTCTTGGTGTCTTTACCCTGTCCTTTCCATTTTGATTCTTTTAACCTCTTCCAAATTTAAGCCCCTTTTCCACTAATACTGACAACACTTTTTACTACAAGCCAGAGGAGCAGGTGGTTACCTGTAACTAAACAGTGGAGAAGTTACATGAGGGAACGAATGATTCCCCAGCTTCATCTGCATGCCTACCTTCCATCAGCTGCAGCCTTGTGTCTGCTTCTTAACCCAGATTTGCTACACAGTGCTGCCACTTCAATAAACTCTGAAATATTTTTACGAATTCTTAATATCATGTCTGACAATTAAAATTTTTAAAAAATCCATCAGTCTGTTAATTAAACTGCTACCCTCAGAATGTGATTGCAATTTCTATAAGTGTGAATCCTGGGAACAAGGAGAGACTTTGTTCAGTGATACAGTAGTTATTGCAAAGTTTTGTTTTTAAACGGCTTGTATGTATGCGAGATGAATAGGTTTGAAACTTACATGAGGAAACACTTATTCTGATTTGTCAACCATCACAGCAGGCATATTTTAGTCCCAAGATGTGGTTTACGTGGGTTATTTTCTTTCCTGCTCCCTCAGGGCATCTGAAATGGTCTTGTGGCTATGATAGCTGAATTTTTCTTCATTCAATTCTTAAAAAAACAATTAGTTTTAATATTTAATCATGCATTTTTAGCATTATCCATGAATATTGGAAAAATATTTAATATATAAAATACTAGATCACTAAATTGCATTTAAAAAAAGACTTCCACCTTTCTGTTTTCCTTGCAGCAGCTGACCCAGAGTGTATGGGATATTAGCAACCCTTTCAAGATTATGCTGTTAAAGGGTAATAAATTGAACACAGAAGAAACTGCCAAAGTAAGTAATGTAGAGCCTAGCATCAGGAGATGTTCTTCTGACTGATCATTTTAATTTGCAAAGTGTTTACTGAATGTCAGCTAATAAAGGCTCCAGTTCAGCAAGGGCCTTAAGCAATATGCACATGAATAGTCCCAGTTGCACTATGCACCTGCCTACAATAAGACGCATGCTTTAGTGCCTTGTCTAGTTTGTCCCTGATTTTCAGCAAATGTTTTTCTAATGTTTGGTGTGATCTTGGCACAAAAGGTATGCATGCAGATCAAGCTATTTTGATATAGACATGTATGCCTTATACACGAGCACAGATTAAATATGAATGCATTCTGATTCAACACTAGATATATAGTGTTCTATGTAGCTCTGATTAAACTTTATCTTATAAGGCTAAGGGTATGTCTACACTACGGAAAAAGGTCGAATTTACAGAAGTCGGTTTTTTAGAAATCGGTTTTATATATTCGAGTGTGTGTGTCCCCACAGAAAATGCTCTAAGTGCTCTAAGTGCATTAAGTGCATTAACTCGGCAGAGTGCTTCCACAGTACCGAGGCTAGAGTCGACTTCCGGAGCGTTGCACTGTGGATAGCTATCCCACAGTTCCCGCAGTCTCCGCTGCCCATTGGAATTCTGGGTTGAGATCCCAATGCCTGATGGAGCTAAAACATTGTCGCGGGTGGTTCTGGGTACATATCGTCAGGCCCCTGTTCCCTCCCTCCCTCCGTCAGAGCAACGGCAGACAATCGTTCCGCGCCTTTTTTCTGTGCGGACGCCATACCAAGGCAAGCATGGAGGCCGCTCAGATCACTTTGGCAATTAGGAGCACATTAAACACCACACGCATTATCCAGCAGTATATGCAGCACCGGAACCTGGCAAAGCGATACCGGGCAAGGAGGCGACATCAGCGCGGTCCCGTGAGTGATCAGGACATGGACACAGATTTCTCTGAAAGCATGGGCCCTGCCAATGCATGCATCATGGTGCTAATGGGGCAGGTTCATGTTGTGGAACGCCGATTCTGGGCTCGGGAAACAAGCACAGACTGGTGGGACCACATAGTGTTGCAGGTCTGGGACGATTCCCAGTGGCTGCGAAACTTTCGCATGCGTAAGGGCACTTTCATGGAACTTTGTGACTTGCTTTCCCCTGCCCTGAAGCGCATGAATACCAAGATGAGAGCAGCCCTCACAGTTGAGAAGCGAGTGGCGATAGCCCTGTGGAAGCTTGCAACGCCAGACAGCTACCGGTCAGTTGGGAATCAATTTGGAGTGGGCAAATCTACTGTGGGGGCTGCTGTGATGCAAGTAGCCCACGCAATCAAAGATCTGCTGATATCAAGGGTAGTGACTCTGGGAAATGTGCAGGTCATAGTGGATGGCTTTGCTGCAATGGGATTCCCTAACTGTGGTGGGGCCATAGACGGAACCCATATCCTTATCTTGGCACCGGAGCACCAAGCCGCCGAGTACATAAACCGCAAGGGGTACTTTTCGATAGTGCTGCAAGCTCTGGTGGATCACAAGGGACGTTTCACCAACATCAACGTGGGATGGCCGGGAAAGGTACATGACGCTCGCATCTTCAGGAACTCTGGTCTGTTTCAAAAGCTGGAAGGGACTTTATTCCCAGACCAGAAAATAACTGTTGGGGATGTTGAAATGCCTATATGTATCCTTGGGGACTCAGCCTACCCCTTAATGCCATGGCTCATGAAGCCGTACACAGGCAGCCTGGACAGTAGTCAGGAGCTGTTCAACTACAGGCTGAGCAAGTGCAGAATGGTGGTAGAATGTGCATTTGGACGTTTAAAGGTGCGCTGGTGCAGTTTACTGACTCGCTTAGACCTCAGCGAAACCAGTATTCCCACTGTTATTACTGCTTGCTGCGTGCTCCACAATATCTGTGAGAGTAAGGGGGAGACGTTTATGGCAGGGTGGGAGGTTGAGGCAAATCGCCTGGCTGCTGGTTACGCGCAGCCAGACACCAGGGCGGTTAGAAGAGCACAGGAGGGCGCGATACGCATCAGAGAAGCTTTGAAAACCAGTTTCATGACTGGCCAGGCTACGGTGTGAAAGTTCTGTTTGTTTCTCCTTGATGAAACCCCCTGCCCCTTGGTTCACTCTACTTCCCTGTAAGCTAACCACCCTCCCCTCCTCCCTTCGATCACCACTTGCACAGGTAGTAAAGTCATTGTTGCTTCACAGTCATGCATTCTTTATTCATTCATCACACAAATAGGGGGATGACTTCCAAGGTAGCCCAGGAGGGGTGGTGGAGGAGGGAAGGAAAATTCCACACAGCACTTTGAAAGTTTACAACTTTAAAATTTATTGAATGCCAGCCTTCTTTTTTTTGGGCAATCCTCTGTGGCGGAGTGGCTGGTTGGCCGGTGGCCCCCCCACCGCGTTCTTGGGTGTCTGGGTGTGGAGGCTATGGAACTTGGGGAGGAGGGCGGTCGGTTACACAGGGGCTATAGTGGTAGTCTGTGCTCCAGCTGCCTTTGCTGCAGCTCAACCATGCTCCAGTGTATGGTTGAGCTGCAGCAAAGGCAGCTGGAGCACAGACTGGTTTGGTCCTCCAGCAGCCTCAGCATTGAATCCTGCCTCCTCTCATCACGCTGCCGCCACTTACTCTCTTCAGCCCGCCACCTCTCCTCCCGGTCATTTTGTGCTTTCCTGCACTCTGACATTATTTGCCTCCACGCATTCGTCTGTGCTCTTGTCAGTGCGGGAGGACAGCATGAGCTCGGAGAACATTTCATCGCGAGTGCGTTTTTTTTTCTTTCTAATCTTCACTAGCCTCTGGGAAGGAGAAGATCCTGTGATCATGGAAACACATGCAGCTGGTGGAGAAAAAAAAAGGGACAGCGGTATTTAAAAAGGCACATTTTATAAAACAGTGGCTACACTCTTTCAGGGTAATCCTTGCTGTTAACATTACATACATAGCACATGTGCTTTCGTTACAAGGTTGCATTTTGCCTCCCCCCACCGCGTGGCTACCCCCTCAACCCTCCCTGTGGCTAACAGCGGGGAACATTTCTGTTTAGCCACAGGCAAAAAGCCCAGCAGGAACGGGCTCCTCTGAGTGTCCCCTGAAGAAAAGCACTCTATTTCAACCAGGTGACCATGAATTATATCTCACTCTCCAGAGGATAACACAGAGAGATAAAGAACGGATGTTGTTTGAACGCCAGCAAACATACACTGCAATGCTTTGTTGTACAATGATTCTCGAGTATGTGTTACTGGCCTGGAGTGGTAAAGTGTCCTACCATGAAGGACGCAATAAGGCTGCCCTCCCCAGAAACCTTTTGCAAAGGCTTTGGGAGTACATCCAGGAGAGCCGCGAATGCCAGGGCAAAGTAATCCTTTCACATGCTTGCTTTTAAACCATGTATAGTATTTTAAAAGGTACACTCACCGGAGGTCCCTTCTCTGCCTGCTGGGTCCAGGAAGCAGCCTTGGGTGGGTTCAGGGGGTACTGGCTCCAGGTCCAGGGTGAGAAACAGTTCCTGGCTGTCGGGAAAACCGGTTTCTCTGCTTGCTTGCTGTGAGCTATCTACAACCTCCTCCTCCTCATCTTCTTCTTCTTCGTCCCCAAAACCTGCTTCCATGTTGCCTCCATCTCCATTGAAGGAGTCAAACAACACAGCTGGGGTAGTGGTGGCTGAACCCCCTAAAATGGCATGCAGCTCATCATAGAAACGGCATGTTTGGGGCTCTGACCCGGAGCGGCCGTTCGCCTCTCTGGTTTTCTGGTAGGCTTGCCTCAGCTCCTTAAGTTTCACGTGGCACTGCTTCGGGTCCCTGTTATGGCCTCTGTCCTTCATGCCCTGGGAGATTTTGACAAAGGTTTTGGCATTTCGAAAACTGGAACAGAGTTCTGATAGCACGGATTCCTCTCCCCAAACAGCGATCAGATCCCATACCTCCCGTTCGGTCCATGCTGGAGCTCTTTTGCGATTCTGGGACTCCATCATGGTCACCTGTGCTGATGAGCTCTGCATGGTCACCTGCAGCTTGCCACGCTGGCCAAACAGGAAATGAGATTTAAAAGTTCGCGGTTCTTTTCCTGTCTACCTGGCCAGTGCATCTGAGTTGAGAGTGCTGTCCAGAGCGGTCACAATGGAGCACTCTGGGATAGCTCCCGGAGGCCAATACCGTCGAATTGTGTCCACAGTACCCCAAATTCGAGCCGGCAAGGCCAATTTAAGCGCTAATCCACTTGTCAGGGGTGGAGTAAGGAAATCGATTTTAAGAGCCCTTTAAGTCGAAATAAAGGGCTTCATCGTGTGGACGGGTGCAGGTTTACATTGATTTAACGCTGCTAAATTCAACCTAAAGTCCTAGTGTAGACGAGGGCTAAGGGTCTAGATCACATGCTGCTGTGTAATCTATCCTGTTTTTAATTTTCTAAACATGCTGAACATAGCAAAAATTGCAACAGCACTTCCGGTAAAAATGTAGATGGCTACATCACAGACCACAAGTTAACAACACATGGGAATTTATTGCACAGTCCCACACAATTTACATAAAGACCTTACAAACTCTTTGCCTCTGAAATAGAACAGCATGAATTTTCCTAATTTGTTTGGCTGATAATAAAGAATAGTCAGACTGAGGCCTGGTCTACATTATAGAGTTAGGTTAATGTAAGCTGCCTTAAGTATCTGAGCACCTTGCATATACAATGAATATCAATAGTAAATTCCCTTGTCAACATCATGCAGTCTCTGGATCTTCTTCCATTTTTAGATTTAAATATAGATTTATTTTTTTTAGAGCTAAATATAAGAGAGTTTCTGTTAAAAACTAATTCACGACTACTCATTGTCCAACTTCTCAATCTTATTTTAGTTTCATTCATGTACTCTGGAGTACTTAGATACACACCACAGTGCCTCATAAAGTATCATAGACTCATAATTGGCTGAAAACTTCAGAAAACCACTTTCTACATTTTAATTATGGAGCTTTAAGCAAAACCAGTTTCTCATCTCTTCATTCTTAAAATGAGTCATTAGTAAATCTCAAAAGATTTGATGATATGGTGCTAATAAAATTCTGAAAGCTTCTATGCTTGTCTGAACCTTTGGGGCTTGGACTGGGAACCTTCAGAGGTAAGGATCTCTTGAAATTTCTGGCATTTCTTCATTTTGGCATGAACACACATACTATGACAGCAGCTTTTAAGTTGCCTTGAAATAGGTCCATGTTCCTGGTTCTTTGCTTTTAAGGAATGACTGAAATATACTCTTATCTTGAAATTTGATCTTTTGTTACAATGGAATGCACCCTGAACTTTCTGATAATTCCATAGTGATCCTCTTATCACACGTGGACGAGGAGGAGGAGTTCGCTAGTGTTGCTGTTCCGGTAGCTCAGCTGTTGCTGATTCATGCATGCATGCACAGTGTTTTATTACCCTGCTTTTTCATGGCCTACTTTACTACGAAGTTTAGATTAAATGATTCTGCACATGCTACAAATACATTTGACTCATGGCAAGCAGGCTGAACAGAAGACTATATTTTAAAAATAGAAAAGAGCCTGACTTCTGTAATTTTGGATTATTTGTTTTTTTTCACAACTTTGATATAACAAATTGTGACAGACTCTTCCACAAATACAGAATTGGGGTACAATTCCTTATTTTCTAGCATTTAAATTGAAGATATAGAAGACACATAGGTGTAGTTTCTTTTGACCAAATGTCAGTATCATCTTCCTCTTCTAGGCTCTAACCTCTGTTTGGTGTCAGCCATGTTGGATAAGTAATACAAAATTTTTCCACAGTTTTAAAATATCAGTTTTCTCTTGGAAGTTCCAGTTCTTTAATTAGATTAGGCCATATTTGCACTGAGATTTTGACACGAGTTTCACAACCCCACTCTGATCTATAGATTCTTATATAACTCCTATCACTGTAGAATCTGAATGCTTTCCAATAGTGCACTATCATCAGTCACGTGGTTTGTTCCCTTTCTCCCTAGAGGGAAAATTGTGTGTGTTGTGCAGGATTTTGTTTTTGGTAAGGTTTTGTTTGAGATTTTTTTTGTTTTTTTTTTAATGTACACATTCCTGTGTGTTGAGAAAGTGAGATTGAGGGCTTGCATTGGAACAGAAGGTGATGTGGGTTGTAAAGGTCCTTAATTCATGTGGGAGTTCACTCTACAATCTCCAGCCAGCCCCTGAGAAAGCAGTCTCCTGCAGAGATGAGCTGTGCCCTTATAATATAAAGTTCCATAGTGGCTGAGTAGCTGAGTTGTTGACCATGGTTCTCCTCTCAGAGCTTTAGGTACACAAGCCCAAACTACTGAGCACCTTGAAGATCAAGCCAAAAGTCTACTCAGCAATGAGAGAGCCCCACGACCTGAGGCCCGCAAGCCTAAGTCAGCTGGCCCAGGCCAGATACAGGTTTTTCTTTGCTGTGTAGACATACACAGAGGAACAGGGACTTAATCATGAGCCTCTACCACAACAATGATAGCCTGTAGAGCAGACTCATTTTATCTGTGGTATTTCTTTCTGGACCAGAAATAAGGAATTGTCAGAAATCTCACCAGGGAGGCATTAAGATTTCCTTCACAGTTTTACAGACCTGAATAATTTGGATAAGCATCTAACTTTTTGAAGTTCATCCAACTCATCAATACCCTTACCATGCATTTAATTCTGTCCAGAACTGAATTGTAAATCCACATACATGTTTTTGCTTTTTTTAATGGGTTTTCAAGGCAACAGTTTCAATGGGAATATATACGATTTTTTAGAATAAAAAGGGGAAAAACACCTCACCATGAGTTTACCTTTTTGTATCCAGGTTTTGTAATTGTTTTGCTTTAGCATGTTGACTTTGTATAGAACAAAAGGCTTACCTTGAATTCAAGTAGAAAATAGAAAACAAGGTTAGTAGTTTGGACCTGACGCCTTTTCCAGGAAATATTTTAAAGGGAAGAATTGAAGTCAATCCTTTTACTCATTAGCTCAAAAAAGAAGCAACTATAAAATACTGTCAGCACTTTTCTTCACATAGCTAAATACATATAATTTTATCACTACAAGTTCAGTTTAATACTTATTCTGCCAACACAAGCTATGCGTGAACACCAGCAATAATAGACACCAAAAGTGAAGTAATTTTTTTCAAGATTTGATTTAGTTTCCTGTACAGTGTATGTTTTTAGGTTAATAAATACTCTGTTTTTAATAGACCTGGGCAGGATATGGAAATCACTTCCTGCAAAAAAAAAAAAAAGGGGGGGGGGAGGTTTGGAATAAAAATTTAATTCTAAATCAGGACAAAATATCAAAATGCAAAATTTCTCATGGGTATGGTTTTTGGCTTCCTGGCTGCCTGCCCCGAAGGCCTATTTCACTTGTGAAATTGACAAGAGCCTGCCAGCCAGACAGAGGGCCCCAGTGCTCAGCCTCCCTTCCCCTCTCCTACCTCCAGGGTCGGAGAAGCTAAGCAGCGAACTCTCTGCCTCTGTGGTGTCAGAGCTGGGAGGGTGGTGGGGAAGCTGAGTGCCCAGGCTCTCAGGCTTTCCAACCCTGGAGCTGAGTGGAAGCTGTGATGCAAAGAGCCGGATGGTGCTTGGCCTCCGCAGCCCTCTGGGAAAGCTTTTTTCAGTTTCACTGTCAGAAAATGAAATGACAAGAGCCTTCTAGGAGAACAACATGGGAGCTGTCAATTTGATTTTCCTGACAAAAAGGAATTTTTCCCATGGAAAATTTTGGTTTTGTGAAAAGGACTTTCTTCATCAGAAAATCATTTCAAAGAAAAACTTTCAACCAGCTCTTATGTTTTTAAGTAAATATTCTTGGCTTCGTGGAA